TTTTCGATAAAATACATTGGAGTAAATAATTTTATAATTATTTAACATTCTTTGTACTTTCCTATTTGTTTTTGGATACATTAAAGCATTTTTTGAAAACATACAGTAAGGTTCCATATTACCACCCGATTTTCTCTAAGCACTTAGAATCTCTAAGTTACTTTCTGACTTTTTGTACAAAAGCCTTCAAAAACCATACTTATAGTTACACTAGCAAAAAATCCAATTAAAAACATTTTGTTTAATAGTTAGCAGTACTTTTCGTGCAAAAAATGTTGGTGTAGTTATGATACCTTGTTTACAATTCACTAAAATGAAAATGGGGTTCCATAATACCCCATTTTCATTTTCACCTTCTCCTCTACAATTATACTTAATATATTATATTTCATTATTTCTTAGATTAATAACAAAATATTTATACTATTAGTATAAGAAAATCTGTTTCATGAGTTTGATTTCAAAATTCCATAGTTTTCTGCTCAACGATGTTTTAGATGTGCTTAATCACCTAAAAAACAACTTGTTTCATGTGTGACATAGTTTCTAGAAACCATTTTAGAAATTTAAGCAGAGCACTATCTATAAAATTTGATAGACATTTAGATGTCTTCAGAGATGCTAAATATGTCAATTAACTTTATATGTTTCTTCAAGTTTACATAATTAACAGTTTGCCTTAAATGTGGTTTTAGTGTGATCCTTTGAAAATGTAACAGAAAGCACACAATATCAAACATGAAATAAATTCACTAGAATCATTGATTTCAAGTTATCAAAATGTGCTATCAAAACTGTTTCAACTTACAGATACACAAAATGCATGAAGTTTATGGGAGTTGTATCAGGACTACAATAAAATTTGGCTTAGATCCATATTTTCAAAATTTGGCTTACTTAGAAGCAACTGTAATTTGTATTATTATTACACTAATAATACATAATCTATAGAAATTATCTACAAAATAATAATATGCATTTTTTTCATTTCAATTATTCAAAAAATTTGAATTTTTTGCAGGGTGAAGACGGAGTTAAACAAGTTTTACAAATACTTAAAAAAGAATTTGATTTAGCAATGACTTTATCAGGTTTGTTGACACTAAAATCATATATAAAAAAATTTTCTCTCTTTATGTAATGGTAATTTACATTAGAGATAAAACAAATTATTCTTCCAGCAGTCTGATATTATAATCTGTTTATTAATTTCAAGGAGCAAATCTTAACATCTCATTTTATATTCTAATATTAAAAAAATAATTATACAGGTTAAAAAATACTAGAAAAATAGCCTATAATTAATTAACAAAATTACAAATAATACATTCAAACTTAAATTGTAAGGTTAATAGGAAAAATCTTATGTTAATTGGACTGCAATTTGAAAAAATTGTAGACCTACAAATTCCAACTGTTGCTGTCTGTCCTTCCTTAATCTCAAGAACAGTGTCAGATAGATGAAAACCGAGACCAAATATGGAAACCTTAGGGACATAAGGCCCTGATTAACTACATACAAACTTCTGATGCAAGCCAGAAGTCATGTTATTTCAATTCAAAAGTTTTCCTCTGAAAGAAGTTAGAAAAATGACTGGCATTATTGGCTCTATTGCTAACAGGAAAAGTATGATTTCANGCCAATCATTTCCATGTCTGCTTGAGACTTAGCTGCATGCTAAGTTTCACAGCGATATGACAATTCTTTCTTTGTGCACAAATTTCTATGACAATGAGTGTATTTAATCATGAATAACAAACAAAAATAATACTTTATTTGGAGTGAAAAATATAAACATTTAAAGGTATTAACATTTTCAGGAACCAAGTAAACAGAATTTTGTTATTTTAGTTATGTTGTTTGTATCAGTGCTGGATGGTGAAAAATAATAAAGTGAAGCAAGCTTTGTAAAGACTTCCCCATTATGTGAGATTAATAATGGGAATAAAACTTATACTGTTGTGCTTTTATAATTTACAACCTCTTAGCCTTTGCAGCAACACACTTTTTTTGTTTTTCAATAATTCAAATTACTTTTAAAAAGGGTTCATCTAGCTGCATCATACCACCATCCAATTCTGACTATAATAATAACATTTAGCTTGAAATATGAAAAAATTTTAAATTATTTACAATTTATTTACAATAAATAAACTAAAAAAATGTTTAATAAATAATAATTAAATAAAAATTAATTAATATTATAGTATACAGTACCAGACCAAATATCCTGCTTCCAGAAATTCAGAATTACCAGGAAACACATGATGCCAATTCAAGTGTGACTGCTGGCATATGGTGTGTTAGAATTAATTTTGTTCTTTACTCTCCATTGCGTTTATTTTATATTTTAAATATATATTTAGTCTGTGTCCACAAGACTGAAAAATCCAGAAATTTGGACCACTTCCAATCCCAAGCTTGCCAGATATTTGGTCTAGTACTGTATAAGACCCAGAGAAATTCGACCTTTCTTAAAGATAAGCAAAAGCTAGAAAACATTAGTAGAACCTTTAAATTTTGTATTCTGCTTGAAATAAAACATTTTTGTTTCAAAATTTTAAATTTATTCAGCTAAAACATAAAAAAAAACATAAAAATAAATAATCAAAGCTATTTCCTTAAAAAATTTTCAATTTATTTCTAATAAATATATTTTTTAAGATATAAAAAACATATCCTTGAAGCTTAAATATTATTTAAATTTCAAGAATATATTTTCTTAAATTATAAAAGTACATTTTTATCTTTTATACATTATTTTATGAATAACAATAATGCATCGTCATCACAATCATTCATGTTTACATTATTTGTTAAATTGTTCTTTATTTGAATTATTTCTACATGAATATGAGAAAATAATTTAAATATGAACAATTTAACAGTAATTTTATTTATTGTTTTTCTTACATTATTATTTGGAAAAACAATATTTACAAATATATATTTTTTTAATTTAGTGATGATAAATAAATTATATAATTTTTAATGAATTAATTTTTACCTTTTTATTAAAAATAAACACCAAATAATCAGTGTGTTTCGATCAAGGATTTTAAAATTATCTTTAACTATAGATTAAAATCTTATACTGTAAATTTTATAATATAATGATATTATATATTACTTTCGAAATAAATAAATCTAAATTTTATTATTATAATCTAATAACTTATAAAACAAAATTAAAATCATAAACTTTAAACTCTCATAATTAGTTTATCTATCCAAACAATATATATAAAATTAATATATTTCTTATCAAAGAAATATTGATAATACTTTCACATTTTAATAATCTTTTTTAAATTTAACTGATTTTGGTTTTTATTCCGATTTAGATATAGCAACTTAATGTTTGAAAGCAATTTTAAATAATCTATCAAACGTTAACCAACTACACCTATTAAAATCAAATAGCTGAGGCAGTAGATAGCAACTTGTCACTGAACATTTTGATTTGAGCCTTGGGTATAATTCACAGAATTTTCATGGTTAATTTGACTCAGGTATGTTGAGTATGTTGAGCTCTACTCCTCACTACTCAACTTTTACAAAAATTTGGCTTTTGTATGATTCATTGTGAGACAGATCAAATCCTTGATATGCATATAAAAGGTTTCCTTAGTGCCCACAGAACAGAAAAAGTTAAAAGGAATACAAGTGTAAATATATATCAATAGTATCTCTATCAAAGATAATACTGATGAAGATAAAATCTCAAAACTTTTTCTTATTTTTTTAAGTCAATGATAACATTTGCAACTCCTATTCTAAAGGTTAGAATAGGAATGACAAATATCTATCAACAGAATAGAACTATCTTGATATTATTTTTCATCACTTTTTCTCCATTTCAAATTTTAAAATAGAATTTTCAAACATTTTTAAAAATAATTTTTAAAGAATTACAATTAGAATTTTGCATGATAAATAACCATAAATTTTTCCAATTTGTTTCTATAATATAATAATACAGAAATTAATAATGAATAAAAAATTTGTTTTTATAGACACAGAATTATCATCTAATATCAGTTTTGATATTCACCTAGATTAATTTTATTAATAAAGTGCTATTAATGTTAATATGAGGTAACTTGTAACAAATGATAATTCTAAATATATAACAACAGATTTGTTTAATTCATATTACATTATTTTCCATAATAAATTCAAATTAATAGTTTTTCTTAGCATAACCTAACTACATGATTTCTTATTACATATTCAATACTGTCAAACTATTTATTAAAAAGCCAACACTTGAAATTTAAACTTTGCATCAAACATTTTACAAGATATTTTCTTGCATCATCAGTACTACTATAAATATAAACTTCAGGAGCTTAGTTTAAATATTAAATTGTTCAAGTTCATGTTTTAAGTAGAATCTTATAATATTTATAAAATATTTAATACAAATCTTTTTGTATTTTACGTGTTGAATTTCTTAATAAATAAATTTTACAGAACTGAATTTCCATAATATACATATTACTAAAAAAAAGTTTATCAACTATTTACTGTTTTGTTTGCAAGTTATCTGGACTTGTGTAATTATTATATTAATAGAAATGAGAAATTTATCATCTTTTTAAAAAAAGAAAATATGGTGAAAATATAGTTTCTCTGAATCATCATTCTCTCTCATTATTTTCATTAATGATAATTCAGTGAAATTATAATTTATCACTTCTAGAATTCAACTTAACAATTCCTAAACACTAAATTATATTTTATAGAATTTTCTAAGAATTATTATATTACATTTTAAGATATTATAATAGAATACTGTATTGAAAATCAAAGATAAAACTGTGTTTAACTTTGCATGATTTAGTAATGATTGTAAGATTTTAAAAAATGACAAATTAGTTATAATATCTAACAAATAAATGTAGCATGGGATCTTTTTAGATTTACAGATTAAAAAATTTTAATAGTTTGCTTATGATTTTGAAAGTATTCCTAATTCAACATTTCTTTTAATCAGATTTAAAATAAAACCAAAATGTCTAAGAGACGTTTCCAAAAGAGATCTCTCTGTTACACTTTTGGGGGAGAAAATTTCATTTCCTGTTGGAATTTCACCAACTGCTATGCAAAAAATGGCTCATCCCAATGGAGAAACTGCAACAGCAAAAGGTATTTCGTATAAATACTTTATCATCATCACTTTAATCAAATGATTCACTCTTATGTAACTAACAGTAATTATGATATATAGAAACTCCATAAATCTAAAACATAGAAAATTTGTATAAATTATATTAAAGTAAAATTTTTTTATTTTAATACAATTTAAAAGCCAAAATAGAACATGAAAACGTAACTTAAAGTTAGTGTCAATGATTGTAAAAATTTACATACTCATGTACAATGCCTAATCTTTTAATATAATCATGATGGGTTAATAATGATGATAATAATAATAATAAGCACAGAGCCCAAATGGTTAGGAGTTGAAAGTTGAACTTTGGTACATTGTTAGAGTACATCATGAGAACGTACAATAAAAATGGATTTTTCGAGATTCCCTCACGGGGGAGAGGGACAGGATTAAAGCTTACCGTGAAGAATTCAGCTTCTATTATACTATTTTATATGGAGTTTTTTGCATTTTTGATTGCATTTTAATAAAGTATGTCATGCAAATGCACATTAAAAAGGGATTTTTTGAAATTCCCATCGCAGGGGAGAGAGAGAGGGTTAAGGATTACCTCAAAGAACTTGGCTTCTACTGTACTATTATAAATGCCTTTCTTGCATTTATGCGGGAAATTGAACACATTTTTAGACCCTTCTAAAAATTCTCAACGATATTTAGTGTTTCATCGTATATCGTTATCCCAGTGCGGTAAGCAGATATCTAAAAATTTTCTACTTAGTCTCAGAAGAGGGGGAACCTAATTCTTGCACTCGATGAAAACGGGTAAGATTGGCTATAATCTAATAATCTGAATCTTTGCTATTGTTACTTTTTGTCTGAGCAATGCTGGGCTCATCTGCTAGTATAGTATAAAGAAGAAATTGTAGTCTTTCAATGTTAAATTTTTCTTCACTTGAGAATGACATTTTGAAATGTCAAAAATACTTGCATGTATTTAATTCATCAAGTAAATAAATCTATATATATAAAATTGCTTGTCCTGACTGACTGAATGACTAACTCACTGACTGATTCATCATCGCCCAGAGCAAACCGCTGGACCTAGAGAGGTGAAATTTGGTACACAGTTAGGGTACGTCATGAAAACGCACACTAAGAAGGGATTTTTTGAAATTCCCAAGTGGGGGGAAGAGGGAGAGCATTAAGAGTTAACTGGAAAAATGGCTTCTACTGTACTATTTTAGATGCGATTTTTTGTTTTTATCTGTGTTTTAGTAGGGTATACCATGGCAATGCACACTAAGAAGGAATTTTTCAAAATTCCCAAGTGGGGGGTGAGGGAGAGCATTAAGGGTTAACCGGAAAAACGGCTTCTACTTTACTATTTTAGATGCGATTTTTTGTTTTTATCTGTGTTTTAGTAGGGTATACCATGGCAATGCACACTAGAAGGAATTTTTAGAAATTCCCCCGCAGGGGGTGAGGGAGAGCATTAAGGCTTAACCGGAAAAACGGCTTCTACTGTACTATTTTAGATGCGATTTTTTGTTTTTATCTGTGTTTTAGTAGGGTATACCATGGCAATGCACACTAAGAATGGATTTTTAGAAATTTCCCCGCGGGGGTGAGGGAGAGCATTAAGGCTTAACCGGAAGAACGGCTTCTACTGTACTATTTTAGATGCAATTTTTTGTTTTCAACTACGTTTAGTCTTCATTGAGTACTTAGGTGTATTAAATTGATAACATTTCAGACACTGTTATAAATATTTTTATCTATTTCGATTTTAAAAATGTTTGAACCGTTTTAAATTCGAATTTGCTATTGCATATTGGTTCGATTATAGAACGATTGTAAACGTTCCAGAAAATTGATCAAATTGAAAATAGTTTGTTTGATTCTCGGCAATTCTCTTCAGTGGTAGGTGTTATATAACAATTACTATGGTTATTGAAATATTGAATGTAAATGGGGTTTGCTTGCAAAACCTCTGCGGATGAAGTCGCGGGTAACAGCTAGTCTAACATAAAATAGTACAATATCTTGCTCATAAGTTCTGTGCCTTCAGATTTAAACCCTTCATCATCATGAATGCTACACCATGATTCTTTAAGCATTCCTGATAATGGATAACTTTCAGACTTAAGTGCTATAATTTATGTTTTCAAGTGCCATTAAAGCAAATATTTTTCTATTTATAATGTCCTTAAATATTTTGTTTAAATTCTTAAATTATCAATAGAAGGCATTGTATTATAAATAATAAACATGATTTTATGTTTAAATTTTTTTTGTTATCTAGCAAATTATAAAAACATTCTATAACTGTTTAAAACCATTTAAGTTAAAGTCTTTAAATCCTTTAGCTGCAGCATCTATGGGAACTGTTGCTATCTTTAGTACTATTGCAACTACATGTATTGAAGATATTGGAAAAAGTTCAGATGGATTAAAATGGTTTCAACTATATATTTACAAAGATCGAAAGATTACTGAAGATTTGGTAAAAAGAGCAGAACAAAGTGGATTCAAAGCAATTGTTCTCACAGTAGATACTCCAGTTTTTGGAATGCGTCTTGCAGATGCTAGAAATAAATTTTCATTGCCACAACACTTAAGGTATGTAATTACATCTCTCAATAATTATTTTATAAAATTATATATATATTTTTTTTTACTTATTTAAAAATCAATTTTAATATCCTGGACATTTTATATTTGCATTAAATAAATATAAAATTTTAATTTTTTAAATTCATTTTTATATAAAACTTTGAGAATAAAATTAATTTCTAGGCACAATATTCTTTACAAATCTTTAATAAAACTATACAACACCATGTTGTATAGTTTCATTAAACAATGTTTAATGAGATATGAAATTAATTTCCAGTTCCCCACAAATGGTCATATAATTGAAGACATATAACTATCAGTTTTTACTGAGGGAATTTAATCCCAATTTTCATAATTTATCAAGTTTCAAGGAATAATTTTCCATTTCTTATCCAAGATGGCTTACCTGAAAAAATCAAAAATTGGACCTGACAATATATATTTTATAGTCTAGTCAAAATTTATCATTTGTTAACAAACTTATATTTAACGTAGTAAAGACAGCCAAATGGTAGCGGCAGTAAAGATTCAGCCTGCGATTCTAGGAACCATGGTTTAGAATATGGATTAGAACCTCAGAAATTTTTATAGGTAGTTTAATTTAGATATGTTGGATATGAGGGTAGACCTCAGCATCTATGATGGATATGACAAGGTTTTTCTACTGTTGTAGGGCAGAAAATTTAAATGATGATGATAACTTACTAAATGTTTAATTAGTAGCAAGTAATAAATAATTTTTTAAATAAGTAAATTAAATAAATACTGTTTTTAATTTAGAATGGCCAATTTTGATAAGTATGATNTGCATGTTTTTTATAGGCTAAGGTGGATGCACTTTAATGCCTTTTGCTGGCCTTATGCAATGAGCCATCATGCTATAATGCCAATCATTTCCATGATACAATGTCTATATTAATTTCTCAAATATTGTAATTTGTCTTTGGATTTTTCAGCCTTTTTTTTAAAAAACTCTTTTCACTCCATGGGTACTCTTTGGATCATTTTAGCAAGCCTGTTATGAGTTTGTCCAGCCCACAATGAGGCAACTGGGTGCTGAGGGATGGGGCTTGACATATTCAAATGAATTACCTCCAAAAGTTCCTGGAATTTTTTTGACCTGTCTGGATCTGATCTTGAGTCCTCTCTGGGAGATCCAGGATCAGATCCAGACATTCTGGCAAACTTTTCACATTTTGAATAAATATAATAAACTACTTCCCATATCAGAGATATTTCATGAATAAAAATTCATATTATATCTGAAATTATAGAAATTGTTTAGCTAATATGTCTAAAATTCAACTGTAATCTTGTAATTGGATAAAACACCAATTTACTTGTTACTGGGTAAAATACTCATTTCCTTGTAACTAAGTAAACACCTTTGAATCAATAAATAAATAAGTTATAAATTTAGACTAAAAACAAAATTTTTAATTCAGTTGTATTAGACTGAATAGATTAAAATACCAAAATTATTCCAGGTTTTATTTTTATTATTTATTCTATTCTTCTAAACTGTATCAATATTCAAGATCAATGAAAATTGTTCTTTCTGCATAATACATTTATCATTAGGTTAAATATCTTAAACATTTAATGTTATAACACTTTTAAAAATATAAATCTATTTATATATGCACATTTTCTAAATAAAATGCCATAGGAAGATAATATTGAATTACATGACATCTGATAAACAAACAAACATATAAATATAAAATATATATTTTTGAACTTTCCTCATAAACATTCCTTAGTAAACACATACTGCTTACAGATTTTATAAACAGGAAAATAAAAACATTTTATTGTTATTATTATTTAAGTGTATAATCCTTTTTGAAATTTCATCCTCATACTTATCTATTGTTGTACATTATAATCATAGTTGAATTTTTCCTTTAATATTCAAGGATAAACTTATTAAAATTGATGAATTTATATACTGTAGTTGTATATATTTGTTATAATAATATTTTCTGAATCTGCTACACATTTGAATTTTTATTACATTTAAAAAATATTTTTAAATCAGAAAAATAATTAAAAAAAAAATAAAAAATATCATTTTAAACATGTTATGTTCCAATATTTGTTTCATATGTATACTAACAATGCTTGCTAGAATAGCCGAAACTATGAGAAAATAATTAGTTTTGTCAGTGAAGGTTTCTCTAGAGATAATTTTTGTAGTATTGAGAACCAACCTTGTTTAGAATTTATGNTATTTAAATTGTCATTTATTATTGTTTATAATATTGTTAATTGTAAGTTACATTTTTTAAACTCATCCTGTTCTTTGCATACAAAGAGGATCTTTATCATGCCCATTGTGAATTAGGCCTGGGCTGCAATGGAGATTAGAGTCTGTGGTAAAGGACAAAACCTATTATTATCTGTGTTAGGTAATATATAATCCCTAAAATCCCTAAAAATTTTTGAGGACCAATCTGAACTCAGAGTGATAAGCTGATTCCTTTATTGCTTTGACTATCTGGCTATTAATTACAGGCCATTTTTAAAATATTTTTATCCTGGCTTTTTATTTAATTATTTTTTCTGTATTGGATTCAATTTTTCTGAATACTGTATAAGGAAAATTGCTCCATGAAAGTACTAAATACAAGACTCCTGGAAGAATATTTTTTTTAATCTTTAATACTAAATCAGCACTAGAAATAACTGGTGTTTGAAGACATTCAGAGTTATAAATAAAATTTTTTAAATGTTATTATCAAAAAACTTCAAATTGAAAAACTTATATACATACAGTAGAACCTCGATTATCCGGACTAATTGAGGATGAAGGTAGTCCAGATAAGAAAAAATCCGGATAATCGAAACAAATACTTTAATTTGTCTTTTAATGATAATACAACATGTTTTCTTTTCAATGACACATTGGTAATATTAAAAGTAAATACTGTATTTAAATCGTAATCAAATTTTCAAGAAACAAACGTTTGTATTGAATTTGGACTACTACTGACCAACGCTAACAGACTACCTATTGTTTAAAACGCCCTCTGGTGGCGCAAGAAGACGGATTTTATAAAATAAAAAGCAGTTGAAACTGCATTCTTATGAATAAAAATTTGACAAACTATTTATCATTTATGACGAGTAAAATTTTTTCGTCGCGTTCGCAGCTTTTAAGTAATGCATAAACCTTCAAAACGCGAGGCTCTTCAGACCTATTGACTCTGGTGAGGCATAGACGGTGGCCCACGTTGCCCATGCCTTACGCCGCCCTTGGTCATAGAAATGATGTAATTTGAAAATAAATTATTTATAAATATGTATGTCAAGTTATATTTTTATTACGATGCAAAATATATTTAAGAGTTTACGGCCACTGTGCTGGGTGAGACGTTGTTAAAACAAAAAAAGTTATGCATTCGATCACATACATAAACAGTATCGTAATTCGCCAAGTGTAAATCAGCAAATTCATAAAATTTTTGTTTATTTTGAACAATCCAGATAATAGAGGTCCGGATAATCGAGGTTCTACTGTATATCAATAGATAAGCAGTCCTAACAATTTTAAATGAATATAATTCCAAAATGAACTAAATAGCATCTAAAATTTAATGTTTTCATGCTAAATTTTTAATGTACTTAAGTCTTATTATTTTTACATTAAGTTCTTCAATCACAAGACAACTGAATAATCATGTTTTTTTTCCCATTGTATAAGCAAATATGATTTTAACAAGCTTTACAGCCATAGAATATTATTTTTGAAAACATAAGTTAGGTTTTAAGTGTATTTCATTATATATATTTTGAAATGTGCTAATTCTGACAACATGAAATGATTGATGACAATATCTATGATAATAAAAAATTATACTATATATAATATAAAACTTTATAATAATTTTACAATCATTATAAAGTTATATAATTAGATGATTTGTAAAATTAATTTTAAAATTTATTTATCAAGTTTCTAATATAAATTTTTATTTACAGGATGTTCAAAACTTTCAGATTTAAATCCTTCTATGGTTGCAAGAACTAATTATTATTCACGTCTATAAGAAGAAATTTATAATTCACATACATAAAAACAGATTTAATACATTTAATAATAGCTAATTCTATTAGAAAACATAAAAACATGTTTAATCAATAAATAAAATTACTATGTATGTATTATTTGTAAATTATTTTTTAAAACATTTTGATCAGAAGTAAAACTTTTATTAAAATAATCATTCCTTACACTATTGTAATGATATATTTGTCTAATCAAGAATGGATGAAAACACTAGTGAACTAGTCTGTTGTGCAACATATGATTTAAATTTAATAAAAGTCCATTTAAAATCATTCTTTATGAAGATATATTTTGTATACTAATTGGTATATCTCTAAATTCTACAGAGTTACATGTATCACACCTTGAAAAAGCAAAATTTTTGATACAACTGATTAATATTTTTTAATGTTTTCAGTTTCTACTTTTAACCTATTCTATCTAACAGCAGTTGTCAGAAATTATTACTCATTCAGAAAATTTGGTCACTAATTTTCTCTAAAATTTGATTACTTTCTTCCAAATTTTTAAAAACTGAAACTGAAAAATTTGGAAAAACTTTTATTTATTTTTTCTTCTATTTTATTCTAAATTATTTCAATTGTAAATATTTTTTTAGAATATAACTGGCTAAGAATAAGTTAAAATAATGTTAAATAGGCATCGTCAGGTAACAAACTGCTGTGAAGATCTTCACAGCAGTTTGTGTATAATTTTATTGCTTGTTTGTTAGATTTTTTCAGTGTTTATTTTTGTTAATGAACAGAAATAAATTTTCATTCTGTAGACAATTTTTAACGATTTGCAGAAAATTATAATATAAACAAACTGTTTCATAAAATCATTAAAAAGTTTTAAGTTAATTAAATATTTTCATTGCTAATGCTTAGCAAAGGAATTGGGTTACTACTTGTTCCATTCTACATCTTGTGGTCAAGCAGTGACATTAGACAGATTATTATGGATTATTTTTTAATTTTCAAAGTTTAACTGCTTTAAACTTTGAAAACTGAAAAATAATCCATAAGAATTACAAAAAATTAAAATGATTAATCTTTATTTGACAAATTATTTATTTAAAAAAAAAAATCTATTTTTAATTCTCAAACTAAGTTAGTTAATTTAATTTATTTTTAAGCAACTAGAAATATTTTATATTTTCTAATGTTGTTGGCTTTACATTGGATGGATTGCATTCAAATTTGAATGTACAGTGGATAATCAGTTAATAAACATAATCCATTCCAACTTTGTTCGCTTTCCGAATTGTTCGTTAACCAATTATCAATTTACCATAGGTTTGTATGGGAATTTAATTAATTCATTCTGAAGACCCCAAAAAATAAAAAATATATACTTTCTTACTGTGTTTATTTATATGTAATAATAAAAATACATATATATGCAGACTTGCATTTTTATTAGTCATGTTTTTTTTGTTTGGGGGTTAAATAATCTGTCTAATGTCGATTGCCTTTCTCTCTTCTTCAGGATTTTCAGAATTAATAGCATTGTAATTGTAGAGATCCCAAGCCTATTAACCTCAATCTGGTTTGTATGCCATTCTAAGACTGTTGATCTGACATCTCCCACTTCTTCAAAAGATCTTTGATTAATAGCAGATATCAGCATTAATCCTCTTTTTCATAATAAAACATAACTCGCTCAGTTTCTTGGTGTTCTTCATTCAAGAGTTCTTGGTGTTCTTCTGTCATCATATCCGTTTCAGGTTCCATTATGAGCTCTTCAATGTTCTTTATTTCTCAGATACGATATTTGTTACTCCTTTAGCTGCTTGAGTTTTCTTAATTATACTGTATCTTTCTTAGATAAGATTGAACTGCCGCTTACTGTAGATTTGTTCAAGCCATACTGCCCAGCAACATCAGACATCTTGTGCCCACTCTCTACCTTTGCTATTATACTCTCACCTTTTGAAAATAAAAACTGATGCAAAACTTGCCCGCCCGACAGTCTCGCGAATACTATAAAAGAATTGTTTCTGTCAGAAAAATAAAAGGCTGGAATTATAAGGAAGTATTTCAAAGTTTGAGAAATACTATCTGATCAGTATATATCAGGTTAAGCATCGACGTTGATTTCCAAAGAGTTACCTGAAGACAAAGGAAAATCAATCGGTATTTGCTATTTCCGTCACTTCTTTTTATGTTTGTTCAGTGAAGTGTTCATTATCAGATCATGTGTTCGTTGTCCAATCATAAAAATCTTTTGCAAAAGTGTTCATTATCCGATTTGTTTGTTAACCAATTACCCACTGTAATCTATCAATGAAACAATGTATCCCAAACATGGCTATATGTAAAGCCAAAAACATTAGAAAGTAATAAAATATTATTGGTTTCTTAAATGCATCATTGATTTATAGTGTATTTAACCAGCTGTAATTTTGTTGTATAATTTATTTTCATTATTAAAAATTGTATGTAAAAAGTATATTTATTTTTATTGATCACTAGAAAAAAAATGTGAAATATCCATTGCTTCACAATGCATTTTTGGTGGAACTGCTGAGCTACAAAATTCCAGATTTTATCTTGTACTTTTTAATATTAATGCTGTATTTCTTGTAAAATTATTGGATATCTTATCTGATAAACTGACTTGCTATATTACCTAATATGCATGAAGGATAAAATTCCATCTTCTGTTATCAGTTTTCTTTTTTTAAAGGTAATAAAAACATTAAATAATTTCTGCTTTAATATGTATTTTAAATACATTTTTTACACCAATATTTTTATTAATGTTGATTAAACTTAATTCAGTTAAAAATGGGAAGATTTCTTACATACTATTAAGATATTCTGTGATGATTGTATAAAATTTTTATAAAATATTGTGCATAATATTTTAAAACAACAGTAAATACCTTGAACTAGAGGATTTCTGTGATAGATGAGTGGATTCAGAATTTAAATATACAAATAAAACCCCTGCCGCAGCTCTAGCTTTAGTTTGTTCAAATTCTATATTATGTGCCCATTCAACAGCACCCCATTGCTTGATCTGTAATAAACAATCATTTTCAATTAATTCAAAAATTATAATAAAATATCACATTACATACAAACAATATATAATATTAATACAAAATATAAACATATTACATATAATTAATTAATGAAACTGTTACAACAATAATATTAAATTTTAAATTCAAAATTCAAAGATATAAAATTCCAAATATTTCCTATAAATTTCTTATACTTTACCAGAAAAAAATATAAGAGTGAATGTGCAGGTATTGATTAATGTAGGTAGAGAAATTTTATTTCTTCCCACACAACACGTATGCAGAACAAATCTTGTATGCAAATTATATATTTTTTATCCCATTATTGTAATTTTTTAGTTGTTTTTTAGTTGTTTTTAAATATTTTTAACTGATTTTATTTTGATCCATTGTTATGTTCATTAATATTTCTGTATATTGTCAGTTAGATTTTTGTTAAATTTTCAATTTTGAAATTAGCAGTGACATGAATTTTTTTGTATGGTTTTCAAGTGTATTGTTGTTGTGTGTAGTTCACTAAAAATAGTTTAATGAGATGCTTATTTGAGAGAATTAAGACATGACTCTGTCATATCATGATATCAAAGCTTGAATTAAAAAAAAACATAAAAGAAGTGACTTTAATTATCAAATTACTTAAGTTATTTAAACAAAAAAATTCACTTAATAAACAGTAAAGCTTGTATGAGTCAGAACATCCTGAGATGAAACATTGCAAAAGCCTGAAAATTGCAGTTATTTTGGCATTGCCATCAAAGTTTTCTTGCAAATCTGTATTACTATATTACAGGGATAAGCAACCTTTTTCTATGTAAGGGCTGTATTTCAAAACTTTTGAACTGATGCAGGCCACATACAAGAGGAAAGAGGGAAAAATATGCTAGTAAATTAGTATAGGTATACTTAATTTAGCTTCTGAAACTGATGTAAACATAATATATTGGAAATATTTGGTTAAATATTAGTCACTGCTAGTTTTAAATCAGTTTTGATGTGAGTTTGTTAGCCAGTTTCTCATTTTAATTTTTACTAAATTCATTGCAGGAAAAACTATTCACATATATAAGTTGTAGAAAATAACATTTGAATTTTTACTGCATACTTCCTTAAGCCAGAAAATTGATATATTTATTCATATTTTATGCAATGTGAGCTGCAGGTTGCCCATCTCTGCCATATTAGATTATATTTGAAATGATTTAAAAACTAAAAAATTTCAATGACAAAATATTTATCAATTGATAAAATTTCCACAAAATCCTTAAAAATTTCCTGAGAGTTTCTGATCCTTCATAAAAGTATTGCATTCCTGATAATGCAAGTTTCAAATCAACTTGCCATCCTGATATATGTAATGAATCATGCAAGTGAAACATTTAAATGTCTTTACATAAATATTTTTACAAAAAAAGTTATAAATTGTTTCGTTTCCAAAACTCATTTTCAAGATAGATCATATTAAAATTTAGCAAGGAGATTGCAATTCAGAAAAACAAACTTTTAAATTTAAACAGCATAAAAATATTTAAATATTCTTCCTTCTTTGATTCATTTTGTAACAATTTCTAATCTAATAAAACAGATTACATACAAGAAAGTTTTTATGATGTAAAAATATAAGGTTGTACGAAATTTTTAGTATATAATATTTTAACAAAATAGTTATAAATAATACTTACCTGATATAAAGTTTCCAGATATGATAGTGAAACACATGATTCAACATCTAAATAATAATTTATAGCAGCTAGAGTCAATATTATAGATTTCAGACTTTCTGCAGTAAACTGAATTCCTAAAAAAAATGCAAGTTTTGATAAATTAAAAATTTAAATATTTAATCTCAAAGCCAAATTATATATTAATAATCAAATGACAAAGACAGATTAAGAAAAACACTTGCAGAAAACTGAAAATAAATATATTAATAGCTCTACACCATATATATTTTTCCATGGAAAAGTAATGTAAAAGTAAATTTAGACAATCCAAATGGCATATTCTGTTGTCCTTTATTTGCACTAGAAACTCATCTAAAACATACCCTGTTTAGATTGTCTACATTTGTAATTTTAATAAACTTTAGTGTCCTGGATTTTTAAATGTAGTGTTACTTGTACATAATTTTAAAACATTCAATAAATTATCTCTTACCTAAGAGACACCAATCATTATAAGAAAGCAAATGTTTTTTAATAATGTTGTGTGTTTCATCAGATATTCCTTCCGATCCAACATCATATGATACATTCATTTTTACTTTATATCTGAAAGAAAACTGATTTAACAAATGTATAAAATATGTTTAAATTTTAATAATAAATTAATATCTTTTAATCAATTTAACAAATAATTTAAATCTTTAAACTTTTAAAATTTAACTATTACAATTGATGATGACAAATAAAATATGATTGTTATTATTTATTCCAAGTACAGAATAATTGATTTATTCATGAGTTATATTTTTGAAACATATATACTGTATAAACAAATACCAGTGTAATTAAGACAATCATTACATTAAAAATAAATAAAAAAGTCAAGTAAATTCACTGTAAAGACTTGTAACTAGCCATCAACGTAACAACTTATTAAAAAAAAACTAAATTTTAATTTATTTTATGCAAATAAATTAAAATTTAGTGTTTTTTATAATTAATATAAATAAGATAATATATTTACTTTTCATAGTAAAAGGAAATAATAAAAACATGGTTTCATTGGAATAAAAAGAAATAATATATGTAATATATTAATATCCAGATAATATATACCCAGATAACATCCAGATATATGTAAATGAAAATATAAATAAGATGAAATTTGTATTAATGGAAAAAGTTATTTGTATAAAAAATTCAGTTAAAAGCTTCTTATACGGGGTGGTCCCAAAATTACCTGACCTAACAAAGAAGACACAAAAAATTTGGGAAAACATATCTTTATTTCTCAATATAGTCTCCTTTTTGCTCAATACACTTTTCCCAGTGATGTTCAATAGCTTCGATACCCTGTTTATAGTGAGAACTGTCAAACTTCTCAAAATAGTCATCAACTGCAGACTCCATCTATTCATTGTTGGCAAATCTTTTACCACCAAGCCATTTTTTCAAGTTTGGAAAGAGAAAATAATCTCAGAGAGCTAAATCTGGCAAATAGGGTGTGTAAGGAAGCAATTTGAACCTTAAATCATTGATTTTGGCCACCGCGATAACGAATGTGTGAACTGGTGCATTGTCTTGATGAAACAACACTTTCTTTTTCACCAAATTTGGCCATTTTTTCTTGATTTTGTCACTCAAGCACTGCAATAAGTTTGCATAATACTCGCCGTTAATTATTTTTTCTTTTTGAAGATAATCAATGAAACTTATCCCGCGCATATCCCAAAAAACTGATGCCATGATCTTGCCAGCAGATGGAACTGTCTTTGCCTTCTTTGGAGCTGATTTTCTCCTTTCAGTCCATTGTTTTGACTGTTCTTTCATCTCAGGTGTGAAGTGATGGACCCAAGTTTCATCCACGGTTATGAATCGACACAAAAACTCGACTTTATTGCTGCGAAACATCACCAAACACTCGATTGAAACATCCTCACGATGCTGTTTTTGTTCCATTGTGAGTAAACGTCAAAATGAGATGTACAGCACTTTTTGAAATGTCTACCATGTCTGCTAGCTCTCGCACTTTGAGTCAACGGTCATCCAAAATCATTTTGTGGATTTTCTTCACCATTTCTGGCATGGTCACCTCATTTGGTCGACCACTGCAATGTTTGTCTTGGCAGCTCGTACAGCCTCATTTAAACTCTGCCACCCAATATTTTATTGTTGTAAACGAGGGAGCAGACTTCCCCAGAGTAGAATCTAGCTTAGCTTTGATATTGGTTGGACTGAGACCTTTCAAATGAAAGTATTGTATCACATAATGATGACCAATTTTTCCATGTTTACAAATTCACTGAGATTGTTCACTATTGATGGCTGTCAAACAAATACTAAACAACATAGCATCTTCAAACTTCAAACTTAAGATTTATAAGGTTGGTACTTTTGACCACAGTAATTTTTTCAAACAACTACTGCCATCTATACATCAGGTTGGGTACTTCTGGAACAACCCTCATATATTACATTAATAAAAACTACTTTTTGCAATAATGAGATTTATTCTTATTATTATTTATTTTTATTTTCTAGAAACTGATTTCTAATTAATTTTTTAATGACAATCTAATCCTTTATGTTCCTTGATCTTTTAACTCCATTCACAAACCCAGCTTTGAGAAAGCATATTTAATATTGGCTTTGTTGTTGAAGGTGTTGGTAATCTCAAGACTTTGCAGACTTTACTTATTTAAAAACTAAATAAATAATAAATAGTGTACAATATTTAAAAACTGCTTAAAATAAAATAGCATAAATCATAAACACACTGCATTATTCAGTATACATTTATAATGTGTTTAGAATGACAGCATAGCATACCTTTCTTCAAACCATTGGAGAACAGGATCCCAATTTTCTTCCTGGTGTTTTTTAAGATCAATTGGTTCATTTATCCTATGACTGAAACATTATGATATCTTTTTTAATTATTATTAATTTCATTGGATAATAATAAACTTTTAATATATTATTATATTAATTAAAGATTAAACATAAAATTAGAATAACATACCATAAAGTATCAGAATCAAGCATTTCTATTATTGAATCACTTAATGATTCCTTGGTATTTCTTGATGGATTATCAATTGCAGTGTAGCAAAGACCTGTCTACATAAATTTATATTAATAAAATTAAGAATTTCATACTTGAAATATAAAATGTTGATCACATATTATTACTATTAATTCTATAAATTTAATTAATTTATTTTTATAAATTCTATTTTAATTAATCCTTTTTCTGGTACTTTGAAACCGTGCTAGTAGTTATTAGTAGTAATTCAAACACAAATAATTATCGTATTTATTTTCAGGCACTTGGCAATTCTTATCATCAAGTTTTTATTCAGTTGATACGTGTTGATATTACACACGTTTCGGGCATTTATTGCCCCTCTTCAGCCAACTTTTTACAGGTTATCAAGATATTAAAAAACCTGCTAGTGAAGGTGGCCTGCTAGTCATATGACTATAGTAACCAGTGGTACGCTTAACTGGGGGAAAGAAGAGGGGGAGGAGAGGTCATCCCAATGGTTTGCAAAAAGAGGAAATTGCATGATTTTGAAAGACAAATATGTCAATTTTAGTATTGTTGTAAATGTATAAGAAAAATTTTAAAGTGTAGATTTTATAACAGTGAAAAACAGATAATTAGATTAAAGTGTGTTAAGCGCCAAGAAATTTTTGTAATTCCATAACAACCAGTAAACATAAGCGATGAAACCTGTGGTTTTTTAATATCTTGATAACCTGTAAAAAGTTGGCTGAAGAGGGGCAATAAATGCCCGAAACGTGTGTAATATCAACACGTATCAACTGAATAAAAACTTGATGATAAGAATTGCCAAGTGCCTGAAAATAAATACGATAATTATTTGTGTTTGAATTACTACTAATCCTTATTTGCCTTATTTAAATATGTCTACGAACACTGCATATGCCACTACATATCACGAATCATACCTAAATTACACTACATATATATATCAGACACATCAGATGTGTTAGGGACCTTCTGTATATAAGACCTACTAAACATTCTATGAGGAGAATACAAGAGCATATCTCAGACATGCAACATGCCAGAAAATCCACAGCCCTCTATGTTTATGGCATACCTGGAAATAGTTGGTAACTTCACATGACCAAACTCCTAACAACAACACTCAGAACATCTTGAATGGTTAGAGGCCATAGAAATTTTTTAAAGCTAACTTTGAGTCATCTTGTATAAATTTTAACAAGGAAATGGTGTTGTTGATGGCCTAGCAGGCCCTGTTTGACACAACATTATAGTCGTTAATTGAATGATCGTTAGCTGCATGACAATGCCTATGTAGCATTAAATTTATATGTATAGTTTTCAAAGGTCATTTAAATGTTTAAAAAATTTTACAAATAGATGTTAGTTCTGATAATGTTCCATTCGGTAACCATTCTGTCACACCTGAAGAACTCAGGAGTTGGAAAACATTTGTACAGTGTTTGTTTGTTGTATTATATACATCAAAAGTTGGTTCTATATCTGTTGTTACATATATCCCGGTGTGGAGTGGTGTATATATATATAGCTAATGAAGAAAGTTTCTTTTATAATATTTCTTACTATAGATTCAGACATTCCAACATCTCATCCTCTTTTAGAATTGCTATGACCATGTTCAATTCAATCACGTCAAATTATAAAAGAAATAAAAGTTTCTTTTATAATATTCTGTACTATAGATTCAGACATTCCAACATCTCATCCTCTTTTAGAATTGCTATGACCATGTTCAATTCAATCACGTCAAATTTTTGTTCTAATGTAATTATGAGTGCAAAAAAGAAATGACTACCTGTGTTTTTATCTGAAGGAATCTTCCTTTTATCCATTTTAAAGAGCACTTCAGGTAACATGAAAACTAACATATATTACAGCAAGTAGCAGCAAATGCACATCCAAAAATTAACAAGTACAGACTGAAATAGAAATATTTCAATTTTCAAATTATAACAGTAATCTGTAAATGTGCTAGTCTCATGTTAACTGAATTTTTATTCATATTAAATGTGACCTGGTATCATTATATGATTTGCACTAAGTCAAATATCATGTTATTTGAACTTGTATTAATCGAGACCTAGCTGTATGTATAGATAATTTTTTTGTAACTGAGGAGTTGAGATTTATGTACTATTAGTAGAAATATTCAATGTTACCTGGGCCAAAAAACAATCAAACTTTTAATAAACATTTTCACTGATCAGCAAAGTTGCATAAGAATTGGCTAAATAGCTTAGTATTCTTTATCAATGTGTAGTCAGAGATTCTTGGAGAGGTAAATGAATATATTTAGGAATAATTAACATTTTTATTGAGCATTCTGTGTTTTTACTGCAGGAGCATAAATAAAAAAATTTTAGACTTCTAACTCTTAAACAAAATTTAAGAGAGTTAAGAGTTGTTTGTGGGAAGAGTAAGGTTCTAGTTTAAGATAGCAACAGTTAATGTTTGTCCTTGAAACATATTAATTAGCACAGCACAACTCAGCTAAACAGGAAATTTTGTTTTTAAATCAAAAGGAGATCTCAGATATTATGAGAAGGATATATGATATAAAATATTTTTTGTCTTGCAACAATTAGTGGTTATTAGAAGGGAAAAGATGTTTGCAAACTTTGTTATATTGTTTGTTAAGCAAAATAAGTATTAACTTGAATTTTGTCTGCCAGGAGCACCACTTTGACAATTTTAAATCATACTATTAGATTTTTTGTAAAAAGATACCCCCTGTTAATCCTGAGTCTTACAGATACATCTTATTTAATTCCTGTAGAAGACAAACAACAGATACAGATATACTTTTTTAAAAAAAATACACAATATTCTCAAGTCTGTTTTAGCTGGTTGATCCATCAGCTAAATATTTCTTCCAACCAGCTAAAAGTATTTATTACTTTATTTACAGTTATTATTTTTTAAAGCTAAGAATACTTGGAATAGTATGAAATTGAGGATTATAGCATAAGTATTATTTTGTTGTCATTGTCACTGAGATTTGTAATGAAGTTTTCAATAGCAACTGACTAACATCGTAGATCAATTAACTAAAATTCTTTTCTTGTTGGAACATTATAGATATTTTTTGTCCATTAGTATTTATTAATATGGTATTTGCTAATGGGAATAAATAATTGAAACGTATCTTCATAAGAGAACGTTAAGTATTTTTATTCAGAAGGACTATTTTACATTGTAAAATTGTCNATAAGGATACACTATTTCTAAAACTTTGATAGTTACATTATTATAAAGAAGAAAAAGAAAAGGACCCAGGAGTAAAGCAGGCTCCTTTTACCAATTTTTTTTTTTTGAACAAACAAAATATGTAGAATATTTCTTTATTACAGAATCAGCACTAACTCTTCAGTTTTTTCCAGGCCTAGAAAAAATCCCCCCAATTCCCTCCCTCTTGATGGCCTGGACTATGTTCAGTAATGTAGAACTTAGTCAGAATTCTGATCAGCTTAGTAGGTGGAGGTAAAAATGTTCTGAGCATCATTGAGTGATTATTCTTTATCAGACAGATAAGAAATATGGTGGCCTATTTACTCATTAAAATAGTAACTTCTTTATCTTCAACAATAAGTTTATTTAATCCAGCACAAGCAGTCAAGACATAAACATAAATTCTTCAAACTAAAACCAAAGAGAAATGAAATGACATCACTAAGCACAGTAAGTCTGCTAAAAGTAGTCTGAGTAAACAAGAAAGAATTCTTACAGTGAGTGGAGTAAGAATTACTAAAAATATTGTCCAACATCATGGCAAAATATGAGTAAGTCAGAATTTATGCATTACTTAACATGGCCTGTTTATATCTTCACAAATAGCATTTTTGATACTCTCTTATAAATACATTGATTTTAAATATTGTTTTCATTCAGATACTATTCCAATTTTTTTAAATCATCAAATTTTATAATTCAGCAATATAGGAAGTACATTTTGTAGAAACATTATCATATGAAGAATCTCTACTGTATCCCTGGTATCTTTTGGTATTTTTGTTTTGTATAGGGATGGTCTAGAACAGTGGTCCCCAAGCTTTTTTGACTTTCAACCCCCTTTAAGGATTCCTGAACCTTTTATTGATTCCTTTCTTCTTTTTATTGCTAACACAGTAATATTAATAAATAAATCTGGTAAGCCAGTTAATTAATATACATACCATTTTCATAGAAAAGATCTACTGTGAAAATTTACATCCTGAACTATAATGTATGTAATCCTTAGAACTAATAATTTTTAATGAACCATTTTCAATCAACATGAGGATCAGTATCAACCATTTTGGGGACAGGTCTGAAATGATGCTAATGATCTAGCAGAAATCACTAATACACTAACATGGTGTCAACAGTACATACATAAAATCTTGCTTTATTTATTTTATATACAGTGTCGTAACTAGCCATTCCTGTGCCCTGTGCAAGAACTTGCATTTAGGCCCCTTAATTAATTAGGTTTGGGAAAATAATAAAACAAACACGTGCATTTTGGGACCCTCTTCCAAATGGGCCCTGTGCGGGTGCACCTGTTGCACCTGCCTAGTTACGGCACTGTTTATATATAATTATATATGTATGCTGAAGTAGGTTTAATAATAAATTACTTTCTATAACTTATATGAAGGATATTTTTGTCAACCTCCAATGTTCCAGGGAAAAAAAATGAACAGCGAATATCAAAACTGTTTTATTTACAAAGGTTAGATACACTTTTCATCTACTTTTCTTTGTAATTGCTGTTTCAATTCAGGCATTTATCATACTGTAATACCAGCTTTTCTATACTCTCATCATAGAAGATTGCTGCCAGATCACTTAGCCAACTGTTCACACTAGCCTTCAACTCCTTGTTTGTAATCCCTGCACTCCTAACCACTGTTTCAAGTAAGTAAACAGATGGAAATCACTGTGCTGGGCTGTATGATGCTCATCCTCACACTGCAATACAGACACAGGTATTTCTTCAAAAGTTCTAATGGGAAATGTTTTATACACCATACAGCACAGTCTTAGTACTGAGTGATTTCCATCCATTCACTCACTTGAAACAGTGGTTAGGATGACAGGGGTTACAAACAAGGAGTTGAAGGCCAGTGTGAATGGTTGGTTAAGTGACCTGGTAGCAATCTTCTTTGATGAAAGTATAGAAAAGATGGTATCACAGTATGATAAATGCCTGAATTGAAACAGCAATTATAAAGAAAAGTAGATGAAAAGCGTATCTAACTTTTGTAAATAAAACAGTTTTGAACTTCACTGTTCATTTTTTCCTGCCACATTGAAGGTTGAAAAAATACCTCTTGTACTAATTTCAATTTCTTAGAATTAGCTTGTATCAAGTCATCAATGTGATATTCTTTACGTATATTATTTATTGTGAAATAAAATAAAATATTTTATTTTATTTGGTATATTAAAAAAAACTTAAGATTTTACCAGGATAGAATCTTTTAAATATTGTAAAAGACGAATATTTTGTACAAAATCCAGAAAGAAAAACCCCGCGAAATATTGAAGTAGCCATTTTATTCTAATACACGTGATTACATGTCACGTGATGGTTGGTATTTAAATTTTAAAATAATGTTATTACATCAACATTATTTGTAATTAGTAATTAATAAATTGTGATTTTATTTTTTCAAGATAAAGTATTTTTAAAAAATAAGAACTATAAATATTAATAATGTAAAACTCCTTTTGATAGATGGCACCACATTCCAATCATGATTATTGATCAATTTCACCAGATGTTTTTATATTCATTTTGTATTCAATATTATCAAAATAATTTAATAATTTTCATAATTTTAAAATATTTTATTTATAATTTATTTTGTTTTAAATTATTAAAAGCCCTGGAATTTAAATTCATTGAAATTTCTGATTTGATTATTATAAAAACCATTATTTTACTCAAGTCTTATTGTTAAAGACTATCTACAACTTATATAATAGTTAAATGATCCAAATAAACAATATGTTCAGTTAAATTTTAATTATTGACAATTCTAACAGCTACATTATTCATTTTAGCTCCAATATAAAGTCCTGGCTGAAGGAAAATAATTCCTAATTTCAAATATGATGGAGTAAAATTAAAAACTTTTTAGTTTAATAAACACATGCTAGTTTTTTGACCGAATTTAATCCAAATTTGCTTTGTGAGAACTACTATACAGTATTTGTATATCAGTAAATTGCATAATAAATGAAATTTTTAAATGCATAACTGCAGATTTTTATGACTGAATTCTTGTAGAAAACTGAATTATAAACTTATGCAGATTAGACTTTTTATTTCTGCACTATGAATGCTAAGAATGCCTTAGTGTCTTGTTCATTGTAGATTCATACAAACCCACAATGGGACAGCTAGGTGATAAGAGACAGGACAGAACAGATCGAGGTCAAACTACAAATGAAATAGGATAGAATTCTGAAGAGCAGGTAATCTGCAACTCGGATCTGGATCTGTAGTTTTGAGAGAGATCTTGGAACCACAGACATCTACAGTGTTTCATCAGTTATCCAATCATCTTGACTTCCTCACACTTGATATTTGCTTCACTTTTGTAAGGAAAAATATACAATTCTAATATTAATATGAACACAATTGCACAAGAGACTTGGCAACTATATAAGAAAGTATATAAGTATATTTTGTTATTTTATACATATAGTTTTTAAAATAGATTGGTTAAAGTAATCTAACGTCACATTATAGCATGTACAGTACTTGTAGCTAAGTTAATCCACATTGGTGTGGTCAATACTCTGCAGACAGCTTGTTTGCTTGGTTACCATAGAAACACAGTGTCAAATCACTTCCATTTAAATTATTGTTAGTTATTGATACTGTAAGATAAAATTGATTTGAAAACTTGCCCTCTTTTTACTTCATCATTTTTATTAAAACCATAGAAACTGAATGATTTTAAAACTACAGTGGAATGCTGTACAAGTGTTCAAGAAATCTGTTTATAGTATTTTAAATGGCAAATGCAATATCATTTCTCTAATTCTTTTGTTTAAGTTTTATATAAAATTAAGCATTATAATTTTCTTTAGTACTACTAGTAGTATGCAGGACTTCATTATCAATATTGCAAAATTCCTATGTAGTTTTTTAGTGTAATTGAATATGATATTATGCATTTAAATAACTACAGGTATTTCTGACTTACAGGCAAATTATATTATGAAAAACTAACAAATACTTTTGTTCAAGTTCAAAGCAGATTTCAAGCTTGATTTGGCAAGTAGGAAACAATGCCTGAACAACTCTGCTGATCAGTAAGGTAATAAAGATACTAACCTACTGTTGATCCAAATTTAAAAATTTTAAATCTGGGTCAAACTTCAAATTTACAGTATTATCACAATTGGCTGATCCAGATATGTTGGACCCTATTCCTCACCATTTGGTTGACCTTATAGGCTAGTCAAGCCCACAATGGGCATGAAAGGACTTTTCAATGCTTATAAAGCAGAGAATAATAAACTTCTATCAGATTAATTATCAACATTTTTGTATAAAACCAAACTACACTTGAAGGCATCATTTTTCAAATATTCTAATTTATCAAGTATAGTTTACATTATCATTTGTTCAATTTGTTTTATTCAAGGATATTCTTTAATATAAGTGATTATGAAAAGTATACAATAGGGTGAATCTAAACACTATACAGTATATTGATATGAACTGTTTGGGTGTAAAAAATGATAAGTACAATAAAAGTTGAGAAAATGGAAAACTAGTCTTAAATTTTCTTTGTTTACTTTGATCAGAATATTAACTGAACAGCAATGTATTTAAAATACTTTGCTGTTTAGCTGTTAGCACACATTATAACATATTAAAGGAAATGGCACTTGCATCTTTTACCCCTGAACCCCTCATGTGCATAAAAAATTTTTTTAATTCTTCATTAATTTTAGTTATATAAGCAAGATTGAATTTAGACTTCTTGGGCAATAAGTATATGAGGAACTTGTCAACTTCAACTAAATAGTAACACGGTATATGCAAAATGTGATACCCTACATTATTCTCACACAGTGAAGCTCTAAGCTGCAGATTTTTTAGCTTATGTATAAATTTGGCTCTGTATGTAAGTTATTTGTAATTCAGTAATAAACATATACTTTATATTGTATTTATGTTTAGATTAATAATTTACAAAATTACAGTAATGTAATCTGTATGATTTTATTAATTTGATGAAATTTGCATAAATACAAATACAAGAATCTGAAAGGGTTATACACACCAAAATCACAACATTTTTTTTGTTTACATTTGCATTTCAATTCACAATACAAACAGCACAAACTAAATTAAACATTATATGCTTATATTTCCAATACAATACATTGTATATACAAAATAACAGTTGATTAAGTCATGAATAAAATTTATTCAAAAAATTCACAGCTCAATATTGTGATCGGTTTTACATCAAAATAGTTTGAGAAATAAAAAATTTCTTTGTTCATGATTCATCAGCCGTTTTTATTAAGTCGTTATGAAATTGTTGTTGACTTAAATTGATCAATTCTGTTTATATCACAGAACATCAATATTAAAATATTTTATTTACTGTAAAATAACTACTTTGAAAAATTAGAAAAAAATGAATTTTCACTCATATAAGTGAAGAAACAAAATTTTTACTGAAAACATAGCTACTCGGTCTGACTAAATTTTTATTCATAGTTTCTTTATGAAGGCATATGTATAATTAAGATCTTACTAAATAAAATATTAAAATTCATATACATTTATCGTTGATCATACTGAGTTATATAGCTAGCACAACAATTAATGGCAGTATATTATTTTTGTACTGAAGTAGTAGATCGAGTTTCCTTCTTATTAATTTCATTTTTATCTTGCTTTTTAGAATAAAAGCCATTGAAATCAAGCCTGTATAACATATTTACCATTTTATCATTATAATTATCTTGCCCACAACCAGATATCATTTCCAAGAGATCAAACAGCAAAGATGCAAAATCAGTATGAAATGACGTAATTTGTTTCTGAAAGCTAATTTGTGCACTAATTGGACTAGTATTTTTAACTGTTTGCTCGGTTTCTTCAAGTACAGTGGGCAATGTACTATCAAACATGGCCGATATTTCAGCTTCAATAGCATATCGATGTGTCTGATGCATAAAATTTGCAAATGTTACACATAATTTTAACAATCTTACAATTGTTTGTAAACCTTCTGGATGTGTAAGCATGCAATCTTTAAGACAACTATCTAGAAAATCTCCATGGCAAGTTAGTACATCATCTACATTACTGACTTCTTGTATTTTACTAACAAAGGTATGCCAGTTAGGTTCAATCACTTCGAACATCATATAATATTCCAAGTTTTGAATAAAATTCAGCATATGTTGCCTTAATGCAAATGCTGAGGCATAAGAACAGGAAGCATCTACTGAGAAGCATTTTGCAACTTTGTTCAGAGTCCACACATTTCCCAAGAGACGTTCAACATGTTTACAGTAGAACAGATGACGAAACAACATTTGGTAACAAGCAAGTGCTTTACGATTAATAACAAGTGATAATGGCCATTGAACTTCATAATCAAATGCAAATGCTTCCAATCCTGATAATATTACATGAGTATTACCTGTATAATCTTTCTGTTCATTACTTGTTATTCTTAATATTTTAAACATCTGAGAAAGAAGATCATAAGGAAGTAATTCAACTTTTACATCATCTTTATATTTATCTGAATTAACAACACTTGTTCTTAAAGCTAACTCTAGCAGAGACTCCAAACGTGTTGGCATGATATCATCAATATCTTTTGCTAATTCATCTTCGGCCATATCCATAAATTGTACAATAAAATCACCTTGATCTAAGAGAAAATAATGTTTGACTGATTTTAATCTACCTAAAAGATCTGATCCTTCCATTAAAAGATCTAATAACTTTTTACTTGCAAAGTTATAAGCAGTTTCAATCCTTTCTACATACTGTCTTTCAGTTACTGTATATATTATTCCTTCAGCATGAGGACATTTTATGTCATTACCACATTGTCTGATAACATTCAAATATTTCCCAGTACTAAGAATTTTATCTGTTATTCTTTCCAAAAATATTGGAATCCTGTCTCGTTGAATAGTGTATCTCTTTTCCCAATAATCATCACTGTAATCCAAAGGCAATTCATCTTTCTTGATAAGTTCATTGTCTTCAACCAAAAACTCTGAATATGGATCTGATATGATACCTTTATAAATCCATTTTTCTACTATTTCAAAATAAGGAACTGAAGCCGCTTGAGTAAGATATAAACATAGATCATGTGCTTTAGGATCACCAGTTAATGTTGATATTCTTTCATGTAATATACTCAAAACACTTCCTCCAGAACACTGTCCTTTATTAATTGCAATAGCAATAGCTGCCAATACTTCCATATTTCGAACTGTTGGCTGAATATAAAACCATAGTTTTTGAAGAGATAACGATTTAAAGCGATGCTGATGTTCTAACTGAGCAATGAGTATAAAATAATCTTTTAAAAGATAACGCATGGCAGCTGCCAAGGCATGATTAACTAAACCAAAATGGAAATTAGATTTTTCTTCAATAAACGACATTACGGTGGAATATTGAGAACATACAGGAAGAATTCGCTTAACTAATTCTCGAATCGAAGGATCCGCGGTTTCATCAATGGTAAAATTTCTAATGCCATTTTCCTGATTTATCGGCTGAGGATTAATATAATTTCCTTCGATTCCTCCTAAACAATATAACAGATCTTCAATTAATCTATCTTCCTGGGAACTAATTGGAAGTGCACCAACAGGTCCAATAGTCTGACAGTCCATTTCTTGTTTGGGATGAATAATGAAATCCCACGACACGTACGGTCTCTCCGCCATCCAAGACGGCATATGCGGACAACCGGACGACACAGGACGCTTCGGAAAAGACGATTCTTTCGCCATTCTATTCTTACTTCCGACGGTTTCTCTCTGCAATCTCTCTTGAAGTTGCAGAACATCTCCTTCGGTTAAAGCACCAGAGGTCATTAAATGATTAATAATGGCTTGATTGCTTCCTTTATAACTGCTTCTCTTGAGTAACCGCTTGGTTTTCTCGTCAGAAGCGATATTAGAGAGGAGATAAACTAATGGATCCACTTCGCGTAGATTTCTAGATCGTAACTGCTCGTACTTCTGGTAAACATCTTCAGGAACCGTAGCATTTTCTGCTAGCTTTTTGACAGAAGCTAATGCAGATATTTTCGACGAAACGTTTGGAGTTCTGTTTTTTAAAAGTAATTCTGCATAAAAATCCGAAGATACATTTTCCGAATTATTCTGTACTCCAAGCAAACGTACCAATTCACTAACGTGATGATGAATCTTAAATTCGCTCATTTCTATTTGTTTTTATTACTCATTTCAAAATTACAACCTCTGACTCCGGTACCGGACATCAATAAACACCATCTGTCGGATTATTTTGAATTTCGAAAAATAGCCAAAATATAAAAACTTATTTTGAAAAAATATATTAGATTTTTTAAAATTATATTTTATTACTAAATAATAACAATAATAATATAATAATAGAAGCGTCGTTTTTATCATTTATTCTTAATGGCCGATCCCTTTGCTCGCCGCAACTAGCGGCAACGGCTACTCGCCTACATCAAGTAGCTACACGTGGCTACTATTTTTACAGCGTGAGTACACAAGCTGAAACCCCAGCCTAGTAGCTATCACGTGGTGATTGTGCTGTCACACGAGTCAATACGAGCTTTCTTGCAGTGATCAGATCACGTGACAACCGAAGTAACTCATTCCTGAATATTATAGCTAGTCACAAGATGTGACTAGTAGAAACTATTCGAATAGAGATGAGCAAAGTCGCTATGCGTGACACTAGCTTTAGATCAGTCCATAATTACAATACACTAATTATGGCCAGCCAACAAGTCGATGAGCTGGTATGCTAGTGCGTCTAGTTCAGTAATCGAATACGTCAATCTAATGTAATAAATTATAATATAGACTATTAAAATAAAAACTGTAATCAATTCAAAACAGATTGCTGGTTCAAAATGGTATTTGAACCAGCAATCTGTCGAGTAAAATCAGGTGCTTTCGTTTTGATTGAATATTCATTTTTCAAATTTCCTGTTACTTATTATTTGCTAATCACTTTTCATATTATTTTATCAATTTGTACATAAATCAGTATGCGAATGTTTTTTTGTTTAAATCTTTTTCTACCCTGTGAGCACAAGAGGGTTTTTTTTCTATGCCCATCGTGAGTTTGTCCAGGCCCACAATGAAGTGTTCGGGTGGTGAGGAAAGGGAACGACATATTCGAGTGGAACACTCCCAAAAAAATTCCTGGGGTTTTTCGAACCGTCCGGATTCGATTGCCGGTCTCCCAGAGCTGTCGGCTGCTATCTTAACCGTTTGGGAATCCAGACGTCACTAAAGGAACGGGACCGGACATATTCAAAACAGAGAGCCTACAAAAAATTTGTACGGTCGCTTAAGTGGAATCCATTTTATTATTATTACTTCTCTTATTATTTTTATTGTAAAAATTGGGGTAATTGACAAAAATAACCCAAAAATTAATGAAATTATAAAAGTTTTACAAAAATTCTAAATATAATTTTAAACGGGTAAAGTACAGTATAGCAGAACCACGATAACCAGAGGTAATGTAGATCGATGCTAACTTGTGTGAGGCTCTGGACGGGTCCGAACCCTCACTGAAATTCGCGTTAAAATAATTTTTTTTTTCTTTGGAAAAGAAAAAAAGAAGTTAGAAATATTTTTTCGTATGAAAACGCGACGCGAACTTTTAAACAATAGAACAATGGAAAAACGAAGATCGACTATCTTCGGTTGGGGATCGAATTAAACTAATACAAATATATTTTAAAATTATTCAAAATAGCATAATTCCAATTTCAAGCTCACATTAATAATATTTAGATTTGATCATATCGTTTACCTACTGAAGGAAATTAAAACTAAAACACGATAAGTAGTGTATTTTTTAAGTAAAGAAATAAAGCTATGAAAGTTTTAATTCAATAAAATTTATTATAAATGATTTTCACATATTTGTCTTGCGTTGTTTATATACTTCTGTATATATATGTCCACACTAGAGATGCTAAAAGTGCCTTTGCTTCATATCCATTATGGATTCGGCTAGGTGATGCAGAGTAACTTCTGCATCGCATCGAATGACAATTCAATTGTATTTTGAATGCAATGATATTTTTATTTACAATCAATATATATCGGTTAATAAAATTTAACTCCTCCTTTTGATCTTCAGATAGAATTTCATTCATTTCTATTCATATGCATTTTTTTACGTCTGTTTCCTCAATTGTTTTTTTTTTGTATATCTTTTTCGTAGGTTTTTCTCTTCCTTCCATTCCATGCCAATCTTTAAGCTGTCATTCTTATTACGTTAACATATCATGCCATCTGTATTTTACTTCAATAAAATTTAAAAAATATATACATATAAATATACGTTAAGAGCAATACAACACAACCGATTCACAAAAGAATAACTCAAAATCACTCAACCATTTCGCTTTTATGAAGCAAATCAACTGCTTAACAAAAAAAAAAAAAGTAGTCTTTAGTCTTAGGAAAACCAAAAAAAAAAAAAAAAAATTATCAAGACGAATAAACCATTAAAAATAATCTTTATTATTTTACCGAATACAACACACCAGAGACATAAACCAGAAACAATTAAAAATAGACATCGGCCATTTGCCTCTCGCAGCTGGCAACCCGACAACCTCCCCCTAGCGTTTGACAGGTTAGGTTAAGTTTGAGTTTATCGTTTGGTGTAGCGTTTTGTTTGAATACTTTTAAATAAACTCGATTATGCTTTGATCGAAGCTTATAATCAATGTAAACAAAGTATAAAGGATTTATTGTAACGTTTAAGGATCCTTTTAAGTTATGGAATAACAGTTTTTAATGGATGATGCCGAACAGACAGGTAAGTCGGGGAAAGTCTTTTTAAATAAAGCATTAATTATCGCGTGTATTGTTGTTCGGGTATTATTTACTACCGGTTCGCTCTGTCTAACCTTTACCAGTTTTTTATATAATTCTTTATTATATATATAAATATAGATAGATTTTGGTTTTATTTTTGTAAATTTTGAATGTTTAAGCGTTAAAGATATTTTTTTTTAATAATAAAAATTGCCGAAAATAGAATGGAGGAGAGTGAAAAGTAGGAAGGGCATGGAGGCGTTCCGTAGGGTTTTTTCCCCTATTTCATATTTGTTGTGTTTTCGCGTTTTTTCCCTAAATTTCGTGTTTACGGGTTTTTTCCCTAAATTTTGTGTTTAGGGGTTTTTTCCCTAAATTTCATATTGTGTTTTGAAATGTTTTCCTGCTTTAAACTTAGATATTTAAACAAGATAATTACGGAATTTCTGTAAAGTTTTCTGTTCCTTAACCTGTACTTTGTACCAGAAAACTTTTTTTTTGTTGTTTTCTTTTAATAAACCTGATTGTATACTTTTTTTTGGTTTAAAGGAAGTCTTTTAATTATTACTTAAAATATTAAAAATACAGTTTTATATCTGTTTATATAAACAAACTTTTTTAATTATAATTCTTTGCTATCTAACGGTTAAATATAACTTATTTAATTAATCTATTCTTGCTTTTAAATAAAAACAGGACCAGATATATGTGGCCTTGTCGACTTACCTCAATCCTGGTCCCAGATAAGGGCTGTTGAAATGTGATCTTTTATGCGAAAAGTATAGCTGGAAGTGATGCGAATTAAATTTTCTTTTAATAATTGTTGAAAAATCTGGTTTTTTGACTTTATTTGTATATTTTATGGTGTTCGGAGATGGATGGGACCACTTCTGTGAATGATTGGATCCCCTGTCGTCTCTATTAGACTTGGGATGAAAATAAATTTATATTTGTTATTAATGCTTAAAATGCATTTATATTTATGGTTAAAATGATTATATATATATCTAAATGTCTAGATTTTATCTTGCCAGGATAACAGGCCAAGTCTATAATGCAAAAAAAAAAAAAGTACAAAAAATAATCCAAAAAAATATATGCAACACTAATTTTTTAGTGTTTAGTAATCAATCTTGAAGTTAATTATTTTGTTGACATTTCAAGGAGTGACCTTTCATGAAATATGGCCCTCTAAAACTTGCTTTCTGCAGTGCTGAATGATTTGCAAACTTTGATTAAATGTTGTATTAAGGTTTTTATTCCAATTTTTTTGATTTTTGATGATTAGGTATCCTGAATAAGTATTTAAAATTTTCTTTTTTTGAAAGGAAGCAAAAAATGCTTAATGTACAGTACAGTTTATAACCACTTGTTTAGTTCACAGAATGCTGGTGTTGACACTGTAGCAAAATTAAGCTGTTTACCAAGTTTATTTAATGTACGGATTAGCAGGTTCCTTTTAGTGAATGACTCAAAGGAACCTTTAAAAAATAGGATCAATCTTTCGTCATATCTTCTGAGCTGTAAAAGAGACTAGGGACAATTAGGAGAGCCATAACTTGTGAAGAATCACTCCAAGACCAAAGGTTTCTTTGATTGTTCTGTATCAATAGGGATTGCTTTACAATCCTAGCAGTATGCACTGATATCCAGTAGAGAGAGAATTATGCCTTGCAAACAAAAAGTAGTTTTGTTACCTTAGGAAATAAAACTTATCTTGATTTGTTGTTTATAAAATTACAAAAGTTTGTTTCAATAAAGCAGATTTAATTTTTTAAATATTATTTTAATATTCTATAATTAGTTTTTAGTTGAATTTTGTATGGATTTTTCATATAAATGTTACATTATTTTTTGAAACATTATTAACAATAGTTAATACAGTAATTAGAATTGAACTTTTTTATAAATGATTATTTTATTGAGTTACTTCATTCTCTATCAGTTTGATGGAGTACTTTGATATTAATGACAGATTTGAAGATGAATTATGTTTAAAAATGTTGTCAATTTGAAAAATAATATCTTAGTCACATAAAATATTTTTTATGATTGATTTTGAAGCAAATAATTTATATATAAAGAGACAGAGTCATGATTTATACTAAAAATCCAGTTTTTCAGAATTTTCTTTATAGAAAAATTCTCAGTAGTTTTTAAAGAAAAAATGTTTAAATTTTTTAGAAAATATATGAAGATGTAAAAAAGAATATTTTTTGTATTTTTATTTGGAAACTTTATACTTGCAGTTTGTTTTATTTTATAATGAAATTGTAATAATTTCAAAAAAAAGAACAATAACTAGAATATGTGAAGTNAAGGAAGCAAAAAATGCTTAATGTACAGTACAGTTTATAACCACTTGTTTAGTTCACAGAATGCTGGTGTTGACACTGTAGCAAAATTAAGCTGTTTACCAAGTTTATTTAATGTACGGATTAGCAGGTTCCTTTTAGTGAATGACTCAAAGGAACCTTTAAAAAATAGGATCAATCTTTCGTCATATCTTCTGAGCTGTAAAAGAGACTAGGGACAATTAGGAGAGCCATAACTTGTGAAGAATCACTCCAAGACCAAAGGTTTCTTTGATTGTTCTGTATCAATAGGGATTGCTTTACAATCCTAGCAGTATGCACTGATATCCAGTAGAGAGAGAATTATGCCTTGCAAACAAAAAGTAGTTTTGTTACCTTAGGAAATAAAACTTATCTTGATTTGTTGTTTATAAAATTACAAAAGTTTGTTTCAATAAAGCAGATTTAATTTTTTAAATATTATTTTAATATTCTATAATTAGTTTTTAGTTGAATTTTGTATGGATTTTTCATATAAATGTTACATTATTTTTTGAAACATTATTAACAATAGTTAATACAGTAATTAGAATTGAACTTTTTTATAAATGATTATTTTATTGAGTTACTTCATTCTCTATCAGTTTGATGGAGTACTTTGATATTAATGACAGATTTGAAGATGAATTATGTTTAAAAATGTTGTCAATTTGAAAAATAATATCTTAGTCACATAAAATATTTTTTATGATTGATTTTGAAGCAAATAATTTATATATAAAGAGACAGAGTCATGATTTATACTAAAAATCCAGTTTTTCAGAATTTTCTTTATAGAAAAATTCTCAGTAGTTTTTAAAGAAAAAATGTTTAAATTTTTTAGAAAATATATGAAGATGTAAAAAAGAATATTTTTTGTATTTTTATTTGGAAACTTTATACTTGCAGTTTGTTTTATTTTATAATTAAATAATAAAATCTTTCTGTCTGGTGAAAGTAGTCTTTTATCTGTAGTTTCACCTTTGGAAGTAATTCTTATGTTTAAACAAAATTCAATAGTCTGACCTAGTGTCAGAACAATATTTCATACAAATATATTTTGATCTAGAACAGTGATTCTCAAGTACCAGTTTTCAGAAATATATTAGTCTGCAAAAAAAGAAAAAATAATAATAAAAATTGACAGAAACATTAATTGTTATATGTACTGTTACCTTAACAATATGAATGTAGAGAAGAAAGTGTTTTATTTATTACGTAACTTTAAAAAGTTCAGCAATGAAAAATTATAATTTTGCTAAATTCTTCTAATTCCATTTCTGTTTATTGTATTTCTTAAGATTTTTTAAAATTGAATTAGCTTATTAGTTTCAAGACATTTTTATGTAAAAAATAGTTAGTAGATTTTTTAATGTATAAATAAATTTTTTGCAAAACACTGAAATTACAAATATTAAAAGTATTTGTAAAATATAACAATTGAGAACAATGAAAACTAGATTACATTATTAGTAAACATCAATCTGAAAATAAATAAATACAATTTGAACAGAAGATACAATATAATAAAAGGTGTTTTTTTTTTACTCATCAAAAGAGAATAAAATTTGATATGATATTCGAGTAGATGCTGGTTGATGTTAAAGGAAAATGGAAGAATCATTCTCTAGAAAGCTGAATAGAGTCAAGTGATCTGCTTTGATTCCATGCCAAAATCAGATATACTTGATAATTTTCTTTATTTTGATACTTTCAGACTAAAAATTCCTGATATGAAAGGCTTTGATATATCTATAGAATTTGAGATATTTCTGGATTAAAGAAATTTAAGTTGGTGCTTTGTTTACATTGCTGTAGTTTATTCATATGTCATCATTTATTTTAGTTTTATTTCTGTGGCACTAAGAAAGCTTTTAATCAGCTCTGGGTTTGGCTAGACCCACAATGGGGCAATCAACTGGTGAGGGATGGAGTATATATCCGGAACAGATCACTCCCCGAAAAATTCCTGGAGTTTTTGACCCATTGGATTTGTTCCTGGCTCCTTCAAAGCAATAGTCTGATTGATACCTTAATCATTTGTCATTTGGCCATGCATACAGGATACCAAAGCATATGTGAGTGTTTTTGAAACTCCATAATTTATAATTATCATTTATTGTAGTATTAGAGCATATAGCTGAAATACATAATGTGAGTTAAGAATAATAGATTGATTTGTGGCTAAAGATGGCCAGATGACTTAGGAGATTAAGGNAGAACCATAATCACAGATAAAAAAATTTATCACAACAGACCAGACATCACACTCATTGACAAACACAATAAAATCACATACATTATAGACATAGCTATTCCAAACACTTACAATGTACAAAACACATGCACTGAAAAAATTAGCAAGTACACAGAACTCGCCCAGGAAATAAGGCATCTGTGGAGGATCGATAGGGTGCTTATTGTACCTGTCGTTCTCTCCTGTACAGGTGTGATACCACACACACTACACATTACAATTGAATGGAAATTGCAATTGAATGGAAATACATACATCACACTACAGAAAGCCACTATATTGAATACATGCCATATTGTTAGGAAATTCCTGAATAGACACTGACACACTTATTTAATTTTAGTATTTGGTTGCTATGCCTTGACTCTGGTCTGGCATAGTACACAGCCACCGATGTTAATTTTGCATAAC